AGACAGTACAGCTAGGGACGGCCGGACCGACGCCCACAGCCTCATGTGGACAGTACAGCTAGAGATGGTCGTGCCAGCACCCACAGCCACATGTAGACAGTACAGTTAGGGATGGCCCTGCCGGCGCCCATGTTTGGATGAGAATCCAACTGAAGCGAATCCAAAAAATCCGTACAAACGTGGGTACTTTAATTTTAGGTGACTACGTCTCGTCATCTTCGAGATTTCGCAGGGATTTCTCTGCACAATACGATGTTATAGGTCGGGCTAGGGTTAGTGTTAAACGAATAGCGACTACTATTAACTCTAACTTAACCCCCTACACTATGGTACGTTCTGTGGTTTTTTCCACGAAATCTCGAAGCAGACGAGGTGTGGTCACCTAAAATTAAAGTACACAACCGTATAGAAGACAACGTCCGACTTGAGCTATTTATAAATAGCTCAAGTGGGACGTGTAGAGGACACAGAAGATAAGATGGACAGATAGAGGACATAGAAGATAACAGAAAGATGCAAAGAACTCTATACAAAAAGTCTAGTGCAGCCATATGTCAGTTATGTTAGCGCACCCGCAGATACGCAGTAACCCGAAGTCAAGCTTGGGTTGGTCATTGCTCCCTCGAGTTTTGAGTTATAGGTTAGATTATCTTCACAGCACTCCGGATACATCCTTATGCGCTCAGATTCCATTCTTAACATTTGCATTTTTTTAAAAGGGTAGAAAATTATAGGGAAGAGAAAAAGTTGGTAATAAACAACAAATAGTTTATGTTAGCTTTACAAAATCGATCACAATAAACAAACAAAGGACGTTGCGGCGATTAGCCTTCATCAGCACATAAAGGACAACACAGTACACATACATAAATATGCTCTAACTATGAAGTGACTTCATGGGACTCTAATGTATAAAATAAATGATACTCATCTGTGTCCCTGGCGAAAAAACTTCGTACAATAAAATGACGGTCAGCCTATTTATTCTCCAACGCGCGGATTAGACACCAACAGCGTACACTGAGTGTCTAAGAAGGGAGGGAGGGGTTAGCCTATAACATTTTCATCAGCGTCGCGCGGTTAATAGTGCCAGTCCTGTGCTGGTTAACAAGACTTTGTGTGCGTCCGGTGTGCTTCTCATGCTTGGCTGTGCCGATCTTAACTCCTAATTCTCGTATTCTTAGCAGTGATGTGGACACGTTGCTTCCAAAATCCGCAGAACGTCCTGTCTCTTTAAGGGCAATGACAATGCGTCATCCATGGGCCGGCCATCTTCAATTAATGCAGCACTTGCCAGTCTATCAGCTCTCTCATTACCAACACCTGCATACCCTGGGACGAATATGAAGGTAACTGCACACAAAGGAGAGTTTTGCAAAGACTCAAACCACTGTCTGCGTAACCAGCCTGTCTCGACCAGCCGGATCATGTTGAAAGATTCACTCAGCACACACAAGTGGGAAAAGTCCTGTGATTCTAGCCATATGAAAGCTTGTGCCCACACCATCACCTCCATCGACATGCTGCTTGTAATCATGGAGAAGGCATTGCTGGCTTCCTGAACTGTTCTGCCTGAAGAGCGAGCTGTAAATGCCCATGCACTCTTATGTCCTCGTATAACGGACCAATATGTGAAGATCACATCCGTCTCACCTGACTTGTCACTGATAAGCGCGCATACCTCGGCATTGACAGCAGCTGGATTCTGCTCCCGACAACTTCTATCGAGCGTCACGGCACAGGAGAATGTTAGATTGGGCGCTTTAGACGCTGGTATCTACTCCTCACCTGGATGGATATCTGTGAGGCTACACACCTGCATGATGTCATCCTCTGCCCTACCCAGCCATGATTTGCCCCTTTTAAGCATATTTAAATTTTTTCTTTAAGAGCATGGTAGGGAAGTCAAGAAGGTACCTCACTGCTACACAAGAGGTGTCTCCAGTGCACCCCAGAATAATGCGCATCACTTCGTTTTACACTTTCTTGTCTTTCAGTCTGAGAATGGCTGACAGTGAGGATGGCAAGAGCATATTCGATGGGAGAAAGTACAAGTCCCTGAAACAGAAGCAGAAGCAGTCTCTGCTCAGTGTTAGCGGTGGCCAGGACCCTCATTGCTGACAGGCCTTTGCGTGCTTTTGTTATAACATGGTCAACATGTTCTTTGAGGGACAGGCTGCGATCAAACCTCACTCTGATGTATGTCATCAAATTTGTTCTTGTCAAAATTTCCTCGTTGCTCTCCACTGTTGGTGAAATCTACCTTCCCTACATGGTTCAAGGATAACCACGTTCCTGAGGCCTTCGAAGGGTTGACATGAGTGTTAGAATCTGCACACCAAGAGGAGATTGTTGCACTCAAGGACTGCTGCCCAGAGGATCAACAGCTCAAAGATAAGAATTAGTTAGGAATACATCCTAGAAACACGATTTAACCACATTATTTGCAAAGTTACTTTGCAGTCCATCCTGAGGGTGGGAGATGAGTCGATCACTTTACGAAAAGGTGAACCAGCTTTCACCCTTCTTCTTTTACGTTAACCCTTAAAAGAGCGGATGGATTTTTGTATTGTGGTTTACAGTTTGGCTGAGATATCTACAACTAACACATTCCTTTTTAACGTCAAAGTACACTCTCCAGTCACATGCTGTCTCAGGGTTGCCAGATGAAAAACTTCATTTTATGCCAAACCATTACCCAAAATATGCCAGAAAATGCCAAATAAAGTGAAATATTATACTCGCTTCCCATCAAAAGCTATAGATTGAATTCTTCACTGTCATCCTCACTGGAACAAGCGGAAGACACGGCGTAAACCTTTTCGGATTTAAAATCTTTAAGCATTTTCTCAGATGGAATGAAGCCTTTGCAACTCATCTATACTGATGGAATATGTCTTGTTCCGAAATCACCAATAAGGTCATCTTTAAGCGTAGTGGGGAGTCGCAGTTTTCTATCTTGGGCCAGGTGTGTTGCACGTGTTGTTGTTAGTCCGTGTTGCCTCAGGATCTCTGATATATTGTCTATCCACCGTACTCTCGGTCTGCCTCTTGCTCTAGGGCAGTAGTGCTGTTCGTTGTATGCTCGAAGAGGCAGTTGGTCGGTTTGCTTTCGCATCAAGTGGCCAAACCACTCTATTTGTTGCTTGTTTATGTATTGCAGGCATGGTGTGGTTCCTACAATTGCTCTAATGTTCTCGTTTCGAACTCTGTCTCTCCTTGTGACATTGGCAGCCTTACGTAAGCATCTCATTTCGCACGTCGTGATCTTTTTCTCAGGTTTGGCATTGGTAGCAGAGGGTTGGTATAAACATGCAATTTATCAGTTGTCGTTTTAGTGCCATAGTGATGCTTGGGTGTTTTAGCAGTGGGGAGAGTTGGTAAGTTACTGCGTTCGCCTTTTGACATCTTGCCTCAAGTTCCCTATCAATTCTTCCATCATCTGTGAAGATGCTCCCCAAGTATTTAAATTGCTGCACTTGTTTGAGTTGTTCGTTGTTAACTTGAATAGTTAGTATATTAGGTGTTCTACTTATGTTCAGAATTTCTGTTTTGGTGATGCTGATCTTCATGTTATATTCGTTGCAGACTGTGTAGCGCATTTACGTGGATTTGAAGTTCTTTTTCGTTTTCATGTATTATGCTTTGGTCGTCTGCGAAAAGTATTTCGTTTAGTTGGGGATATACTTCATCAGGATCGGCGTGTATGTTTTCATTATAATGATCTCTTTCAACTAACTCTGTCTCATTGCTTGGTGTAGTTAACAGTTCGCTTATCATTACATGGTTTGCTGCTGTTGTTATTCTGTCCATGTATATATTGAATAGTAGTGGTGATAGTACACAACCCTGTCTTACTCCTGTTCTTAGTATGAATTCGTCTGTCACACCAACGTTTGTTCTAACTACGCTTGAGCTTGTTTGGTACAGAGATCTGATGTTGTCTAGTAGCGGACATCTTTAAGTGTAGGCGATATAATGTTTTTATTAGGCATGAACATTTAGTTCTATGCAACTGTATGTGCTCCAATGTACTTCCCCGATCATGCGCTCTCATGATTTCACTTAGATGATCAATTGTGCTTATTGCACAATGGCAGGTCACACCTACAGCAAGCTGCAACTCTGCTGCCTTCAACTTTATCACTACTTTGCCTAGGAGTCATTGTTGTAATAAGCTGTGACTGACTTTTTGATAGTTTTCATCCTGTGTTCTTAGGATTTTACATGATTTGACATGCTACTAATTCTTGGTGCAACAGTACACTGACACAGTTTACTATATGCTGTCTCTGATCTGTCTGAAGCCGTGGGTATGTTTTCCTCCAGTTACTATTATACTTGCGATGTCTTAAGATGCTTTCCATTTTTTGGGATGACGTGGCCATTGGTAAAAGTAATAAAATCTAAGACAGAACAAGGTCTATATTCTCTTTATTTTCTGTCCTTAAGTAGTTACTGAACAGTCTGAATCACTTGGTATCAGTGGTGGGTTTTGGTTTTATATCCCGCATTTATTCTAGTAGATTAAGATAAATTACAAAGGGCCCAGCTTATCGAAGTCATGATCTGTTTAGGAAGACAACAAAAACAATAGGAAACGGAGCGAATCTCCATTACCATTAGTCAGTACCAGGACATCACAACAAAGTCAAACTGAAATAAAGATGTTAACTGTAGATCTAAATTGCTTTTAGTAAATCTGCGTGTTTCTAACGGAGAAACTATGAAGCAAATGTGAGCACACCTTGATAAAAAAAAATGCCAGGAAAAACCCCAAATATGCCAAAATATGCCAGTTTATTATCTTATGCCAGTTCAATTTCAAATATGCCAAATTTGTGGAATCTGGCATAAAAAATGCCAACATGGCAACCCTGTGCTGTCTCCTGTCCGAAAACAAACCTAGAACGAGCTCTTTAGTCGCCGAAGTTTAGTGTTAGAGCGTTAAACTTGACCTGTCCTTGAACTCAGCCAGCCATCACCAGCTCTCCCTCAACATGGCAACTCCAGCGATCACCAAATCCAGATTCGTTCTTCGAATTTTCGCCAATCCAGGAATATGCTCAACGCAGCAAACCAGATCCAAGTGAGATCCGTTCTCCTAATGTTCTTTGTGTTCTGTTTTATTGCTATGAATTTATATATTCTCTTAGTTGTTGAGATTTAATGCAGAAAGTTACCACGGAAGGTCATTTTCGTGTCAATGAGTCGATGCCGGCACGATTGCTCGCATCGTCATCAGTGGTAGTATTGTTTTTCATGATCACAGACTGTATTGTTGTCTGATACTTTACGATCTATTATTTTATGCAACCACAGTATTTGTTGGATATCTTAGAAACTATTAAAAATAAAATGCAAATTCTAGGTTTAAGTTTGATATCTTTCCAATATATTTTACGGTCAAATGAGAAAACTGAAAAAGTTCTCATTCTTCTCATTCAGAGTTTTCAAAGACATCTGTTTTCTTTCCTTGCTGTAATGCAGTCTAAGTGTTTTAATCTGCATTTGCAAGCTTTTGTTCTCCTTCAGCATGTTCAGATTTGTCCGCTGCTTGTTTACACAGTTGTCACAGTCCCTTTTTAGACGCTGCGGTGATGGTGACCTAGGGCGCACTGAAAATGATAAATCGTTATGAATAGAGTCAGAGGTTAACCCCACAACAGCAACCACTGATGGTTCTGAAGTGTGTTGTGAAGGCATTGGTACAGATGTGTGTTCTGGTTGTGTAAACAGTGTGTTTGTATAGTCTGGTTGCATGAGTGCTGTGGAAGTTATAGCCGATGAATCAACTGCTTGTGCCGTATCATCATGAAACGATATGCCCAATAGCTCTTGGCTTAACCTTACAAAACCATCCCACTGTCTCTGAACTGGGTAGCATACTTTTTTTTGGCTATGGTCTTTAAATGATTAATAGCACTTAATGTTCGTTGCTCGTGTAGATGTTTGTCTGGCTCTGCCATCTGCACAATTTCCTTTATTCTTCTGCCTACATCAGAAACAGAAAGTTTTTCATTTACAAGTAACCGTGTTACGTAGCCCTTCTTGATTGGATACTCAGGCTCAAAGCTTGCCATGTGCGCTCTCATATCACTAGCGGTTCTATTTGCCATTGTTGTAAGACAGTGAATCTGTGCAAGAAAAAACATTTTGCTGATACTGTTATGCTGAAATTAAAAATGTCAAATAATATCTCGAAGTAGAGAATTGAGACATATTGAAAGGCATATGAATTTAATTGATTATGATAATATACTTGAGACTGAGATCTTCCCATTACTGTATTACATATATGATGAAACAGAACAGCTGGTGATTTAGCACTGATTAATAATAAAATAACAACAATAATTTTTTTTTAAATAAATAATTTTAAGAATTTAATAAATTAAATTAAAAATACTCAAGACTCATTTGAAAATAATAATATACTGGCAATATAAAACCCTACCCTACTTTGAAATATGTGCAACTGATAACTGAAAACAGAAGGGTCCCCCGGGTACTTAACAGTTATAATGAAACAACGCGAATGAAGTTTATAAAGTGTTGCTATGGCAACGTACTTTTCGCAAACCGACCACTCCTTCGTTCCTTTGAGACAGGTCTAATTAAAATCTCTATATCTAATCAGTCCGATTATTGAAAGAGTAAACATTTGTCTGAGATCTGTAAAAATGGATAGAGAATTTAAACATAACTAAACTAATTTGGAAGCTCAGCATATAACCATATGTAAAACATATAACTAGATGACATTTTTCAACAAAATTATCGGAAAATACTAGTCTTGATAGCTACTTGGTGTCCCTATGAAAAACATGCCGCACATCAATAAATAATCGCAAATTGCCATTAAATATGCTGAAATTATATGCAGGCTTCAAATAGTATTGTCAGAATGTGACTTAAAATAATAAAAATTAAATAAATATGCACATTAACGAGGTTAAAGTCCGGTTGACTATGAATGTTTATTTTCGCGAGTTTCAAAATGGAGACTGGCGTGCGACTAGAAATGAACTTTCAAGTGATGCACTTCTAAAAAATGTACTGTGAATTAGTCCAATTAGTAATATTGCTGAAAATGTACACACTAATAGATAAATGGATGCTAATTCTAATTATTCCTAGTAAATTTATGAGGCTTGCCTTAAAGTCTTTAACTGATATAGTGAACAACGAAAACATACAGACAACCACAGATTCAGCTTACCATGTGCTCGCAACTGAACGTCAAGTCTTACGTTCGAGCTATTTATAGCTAGGGAAACCCCGTGATTAAGCGTGCTTTTCAAACGAATTTAGGGCACCCCGAATCCCGCCGAAGTTTTCCGTAAGCACATTTTTGCTAGATCGGTAACGTCATCATTTTTCAGACGTCACGTGTCGGGGGTGTGTCCGTAGTCGCTAGAAAAACCAAGAACAGTTTACCCTACCAGACCTGAGGCCCTTAACCTAACTGCCCCCTATACCTGAGCTCCTGGGCATCAACACGAAAACCAACATGATATACAAAAATATTAGTTACATACAAACAAGTGGTTAGAATAAGATGAATTTAGAGAAACGTAGAAAATAGGTTTACCTTTCATCTAGCACCAATATTCCACCTTTGGGCTCTCCTTCGATTTCTCCCCCCCCCCCCCCCCCCCCATATTATGGCGGCCAAACAAATACCCATAACAGGGCCTCAGTCATGTGTAAAATGCGGGCTTCCTCCGACGTACACATCATGGCAAAACTAGGATTACTTGACAATTTCAAGAAACGCAACATTACAATTCGGAGGAGCAGATGGATCACCACAGTCTGGTGAGATTGATGCAGTTGGGGGTGACGAGAGGTTCTGGCAGATACTCAAGGCTCAGAGGAAAGGCAAGACGGACGTTTAATCAGAATGCTACTGGCACCATTCATTAGTATCGGAACTCTTTGCTGGCTGCTGAAGATGGGGACGGAGCGCTTATGAGAATGCCCCGAGTGCTGTGATGTCGGTTCTCAAATCAAATCAAGAGACGCAACACTGCAGACGATAATAGCGACCGTTAAAAATTTCGAACTTTTCTGCAGACGATAATAGTGACCATTGACAGTTTCGAGACACACAACATTACAGATGATAATAGCGACATAGCAGGGAAACCACGTGGATGGGGATCTAAACGAGATGCCTGGGTCTCACGAGCAAACAAATTGGAGGAAGTTGCAGGAGATGCTGTAGCTTCTGCTCGTGAGTCCCAGCCATCTAATTTAGCCCCCAATCCTCACTGCGTGTAGTGGTTCGGAGAATACTGTCGGCGGTGCGGCACAGTCGCAGAAACAGGTCCTCAATTAACATATCGCTGAGACCCTGTTAGAGCATTTGTTTGCCCTCGATAATATTGGCCTGTTATTCGGAGCCGATCCTAGTTTTGCCACGATGTGTTCCTCGGGCAGGAACTCTGCATTTAAAATTATACTACATTATTATTATGTTTGTTTGATGAAGCATCACTCACTCACTCCAGCTTGAAAGGCACTTGGCCTGGACTGTTTGCTAGCAAGTACCACTTATTTGCTGACCTAAGACATTCCAAAAAGAACATTGCTGTTGGCTAATATAAATAGAGTGCAAAGTAGAGCTCTGATGGTTTCCTTTAGGCTGCAGCTTGGACAGTGCACTACATGTTAACTTCTTTTTCCTCAAGTCCAAACCGTGAGGCGTTGGTAGTTGTGTCTATCCCAGCCTTCTGTCTCGTATATTTTCAGTCAACACTGACATAGATGATCCTCCATGCTATGCTGGCAAACTGTTAAGCATCTTTTCTCTGGCTCTCCCTCTCCTCCCCCTCTGCCATTTCAGCCATGTGTTACACATACCAACAGTTCAGCTGTATATTACACATACTAACATTTCAGCCATATGTTACACATACCAACATTTCAACCATATGTTGCTCATACCAACATTTCAACCATATGTTGCTCATACCAACATTTCAACCATATGTTGTCCATACCAACATTTCAACCATGTGTTGCTTATATAAACCATTTAGCCATATTTTACACACACCAGCATTTCAACCATATGTTGCTCATACCAACATTTCAACCATGTGTTGTTCATACCAACATTTCAACCATTTGTTACACATCCCAACATTTCAGACATATATTGTCAGTACCAGTAGTTCAGCCATATATTTGACATGACTTTTTCCAAACATACACGCTGGATGCTGGGCTACTTTGCTTTTCTAGTGCAATCTGGAGCAATGTGGAAATGGGCCCACCTGATGCCATCCTGGGGGTGACAGAGGCTTTCAAAAAGGACACCAGTCCAAAGAAGATGAACCTTGGAGTTGGAGCATACAGAGATGATGCTGGCAAACCATACGTCTTGCCGTCAGTCAAAAAGGTGCCTTTAAAAAAAATTAATTTTATATAGGATTTCATAGCAATTTATTTTAGTTCAAATTTCTTACTTTGTGTATTGTCTGCATCGTGCATTCTTCTTCTTGTTCACCGGCTGTGAATTCCGGCGGTAAGTCGCGGTTGTTCATCCAAATGGACTTTTGGCTTTTACCTTGACCTGAGTTTTGCGTGTACATCCGTTTTACTGGCTTATTTGTTTGCAGTTCTCGTTCCCCGCCTCTCTGGCAGATGTACTCCGACTTCGAGGGAAGACGTCAAGCCTATTTCTAGGTTGACTGTGGCCATTGTTTTGTGTGGGTCAAGATGTTGCCTCATTTGTGTGGTGTCCTCTTTGACCTTTAACAGGTGTGGCCCCCGGAATGTCGTCCTGGCAGCCCTGGGTAGAATTGTCAGCCCTCAAGGGAAGGCAGGGGCAGATCATGGGCATTCCCCGCCATCCAAGGAGGCTTCCATAAATGCAGAGCCGACACATGATGCTCTGGTTCTGGGCTCACCCAAGGAATCCTCACGTCCTGCCCATGACATCGTGCATTCCATTTGAGGTTTTATTTTCTTACATGCTACATGGTTCAAGGTTTTCTGTTTTATATCACATAATTCATACTTATAAGTGTAAGTTGTAGCAGCATTTGTTGCTAGTCTGATGGTACTTTGGTTTCTTATGTCGAGTGTTCTGTCTACTACTTTTGTATAATGTTCTCTGAATCTCTGTTATCTTATGTATCCTCTGTCTGCTTCTGTCTTATCGTGTATGTCCTCTGTCTGCTTCTGTCTGGTGTCTTGAGTGTCATTTGTTGTCTTGTGTGTCCTCTATTTGCTGTCATCTGTTGTCTTGTGTGTCCTCTATTTGTCTTGTGTGTCCTCTATTTGTCTTGTGTGTCCTCTATTTGTCTTGTGTGTCCTCTATTTGTCTTGTGTGTCCTCTATTTGTCTTGTGTGTCCTCTATTTGTCTTGTGTGTCCTCTATTTGTCTTGTGTGTCCTCTATCTGCTTCTGTCTGTAGTCTTGTGCGTCCTCTATCTGTTTGTCTTTAGCCTTGGATGTCCTTTATCTGCTTCTGTCTTATCTTGTATGTTCTCTATCTGCTTCTTTTGTCTCGTGTGTATCTGCTTCTGTTTTATCTTGTGTGTCGTCTATCTGCTACTGTCTGTTCCCTGCATGTCCTATGTCTGCTTCTGTTTTATCTTTTGTAACCACTATCTGCTTCTGTTTTATCTTGTGTTTCTTTTATCTTCTATTTTTTTTCTGTTATCTTGTGTTTCCTCTATGTACTTCTGTTGTCCTGTGTGTCATTTGTCTGCTTCTGTTTGTTGCCTTTTAGTTTCTTGATATCTGCTACTTTCTGTTGCCTAGTGACCTCTCTGTTACCTTTTATTATCTACAGTAGTGTCAGTTAACCTTTTACTATCTAGAGTACTGTATGTATGCTACTTTTTATTGTCTAGAATGGTGTATATTACCTTTCATGTCTAGAGTGGTGTCTATTACCTTTCATTGTCTAGAATGGTGTCTTTTACCTTTTTGTGTGTGTCTAGAATTGTGTCTATTATCTTTTTTGTCTAGAATGGTGTCTGATACCTTTCATTGTCTAGAGTGGTGTCTATTACCTCTTATTATCTAGAGTGGTGTCTATTACCTCTTATTATCTAGAGTGGTGTCTGTTACCTCTTATTATCTAGAGTGGTGTCTGTTACCTCTTATTATCTAGAGTGGTGGTGTCTGTTACCTCTTATTATCTAGAGTGGTGTCTGTTACCTCTTATTATCTAGAGTGGTGTCTGTTACCTCTTATTATCTAGAGTGGTGTCTGTTACCTCTTATTATCTAGAGTGGTGTCTGTTACCTCTTATTATCTAGAGTGGTGTCTGTTACCTCTTATTATCTAGAGTGGTGTCTGTTACCTCTTATTATCTAGAGTGGTGTCTGTTACCTCTTATTATCTAGAGTGGTGTCTGTTACCTCTTATTATCTAGAGTGGTGTCTGTTACCTCTTATTATCTAGAGTGGTGTCTGTTACCTTTTATTGTCTAGAGTGGTGTCTGTTACCTTTTATTGTCTAGAGTGGTGTATGTATGCTAGTTTTTGCCTAGAGTGGTATGTGCTATTTTCTTTTGCCTGCATTTCCTCTAATATCTGCTACATTCAGTGTTGTACAGTGTCCTTTATCTGCTACTGTGAGTGCTAAACATCTCTGACTATGTATTTCTTGTAATTATCTAAGGACTTTCCCAGTGTTTGTTGTTGAAATAGTTGAGCCTGGTGATATTTGTTAGGTGTATTGAGACATGTTTGTTGATTCCCAGGCAGAAGAGGAGATCCTTCGAGCTGGACTAGACAAGGAATATGCTGGCATCACTGGTATTCCAGATTTTTCTAACTCGGCCATTAAACTGGCATTGGGTGCTGATAGCCCAGTGTTGAAGAACGGACTGGTAACTATACCTTTTTTCTTCAGCCTTTTAGTCCCAGATGGAAGCATAGGCTGTAAGCCAACTTGCTGCAAGCCTTTCTCTCCTTTGCCATATCTTCCAACTCTTAATGATTAAACTGGCATTGGGTGCTGATAGCCCAGTGTTGAAGAACGGACTTGTAACTATACCTTTTTTCTTCTTCAGCCTTTTAGCCCCAGATGGCATCCTAGGCTCTCAACCAACTTGCTCCAAGCCTTCCTCTCCTTTGCTATATTATACAGCTCTGTCCAAACTTTGCCATCTGATTCCCCTATGTTTCTTATTATTGTCTCTGTTTGTATATTTAGCATCTATTTAACATAAATTAACTGACTGCAATGAACTTACGAACTACCATTGGTGACTGGTGCAGCCATGCTATGTCTGTTGGAAACTGTTGAAATCATCTCACACCTTCTCCAGATCTCTCAAAAAGCAGCTGTTTGAACAACTATTGCAGCCTCCACATGGGGGTTTTGTGGGGGGGGGGGTGGGTGGGTGGGGGGATCGATCCTTTACATCTTAAAACAAATGCATTGTACAAGGTGACTGGGGAGTTCAGTGAGATCAGATGTATTGTACCAAAAGAGGCAGGTATCCAGCTTAGCTGTTAACAATACAATATATCTCCTGTTTTATCCTTCTCATGACATTCCCCAAATATGTGCGGCATTGTGCTACTATCTTGTGTTGAACCTGTCTTTTGATAGAACAGTTCTCTAGCAGATACTGGCACGGAGATGTAGAGCATGACCCTTTCATATATTCTAGGCCGTAACATTTGAGGCTGGCTTGCCTCCATCGTCCCCTCACTTCTTATATTCTAGACCTTAACATTTGAGACTATTTTGCCTCAATTGTCCCCTCCTTTAATGTATTCCAGGCTGTAACATTTGAGACTGGCTTGCCTCAATTGTCCTCTCCCCCTCCCCCTTAATATATTCTAGGCCGTAACATCTGAGACTATTTTGCCTCAATTGTCCCCTTCCTTTATATATTCTAGGCCGTAACATTTAACACTGGCTTCCCTCCCTTGTCCTTCCCCTTCAAATATTCACTAAAAATGTTTAGGTTGGGTAAAATAAAATGTTCGCTACTTGTGGGGCTTGATCTTACTCCATGTTGCGAAAGGCAGGCACACAGACCATCAAAATATTTTTTGCTAATATTTGATTTTCTGGGGTGGACAATTAAGTATCAGTGTTGTATTTGAATGGACATTTAAAGCAATAATAAAAAGTAATTTATTTTTCTAAATGTTCATAGAATGTGACAACTCAGGCAATATCTGGGACAGGAGCCCTGCGTGTTGGAGCTAACTTCTTTGTGAGTATGGTTGAAATAATTTTTTGTGTTTGACAGTTTTTTTTTTTCTAGGTTTGGTAAATATTGGATTCCCCCAAAATATATTTAAATATATTTATTTTATTATGAAACACACTTTTCCACCATTTCTAAAAAAAACAGACTGGCAGTGAACAGCAAGCTGGCAGTGGTTTTACTGACGGCTACTACCTAAGAAGAGATGGACTTTAAATAGGGAACTAGAACAGAAAATAATTACATGTGAAATGTGCTGTCTCTGTAAGGTCGCTAACAACACACAACGAGACAGGGCATGGACAAGCATAATACAATAATAATACAAGCATTAGAGAGAAAGTCAGGACAAAACCATGTCTGGATTATATGAAGAATGAAATGGTTCAGCCATCTAGTGAGAATGCGGCAAAACCAAACTGCAAATGAGGCTTTTTACAGCAGAACATCTGGGAGGAAGACCAAGAAAGAGATGGATAAATGATGTAGCAGAAATCTGCAAAAAGATGAACACATCCATCACCCAAGCCACCCGAGAAGTGCAAATACAAAAAACCATGACCTGGTATCAGGGAGACAACAAAACCGCGACACTGGGCTACAACCTGGTATCAGTGAGACGACAAAACCGCGACACTGGGCTACAACCTGGTATCAGTGAGACGACAAAACCGCGACACTGGGCTACAACCTGGTATCAGGGAGACGACAAAAGAAGAAGAACAGTGAGCAGGCTTTCATGGAAGATGATACTTACATACCAGTTGTCTTTGCATAGAAACCGCATTCTTGGTCCACCTTAAATCTGCTTCTATTCGTCTCTTTTTGTGTGTTCAGTTTTTTTGTCTCTCTATCTGCCATTTCCACTGCATGTCCAAACTATTGCCGTCATTTTGTCCTAATGGTGCTAGTGAAGAGTTGTGATTTACAGCAGTTTTGAAATGTGTTTCTTCTCATCTCTGTTCTCCACTGTTTTCATCTTTGATGAGTCCAGAGAATAATCTTATAACTGTTCTCAGAAGTTTGTAATATGTGGCCTAATTCACCTTATAATCAATTATTTTGTTTCCTAAAATTCTAAGTTAAGGACCCTTTCTCCACGCCTTTCAGAAATTTTGGGTATATAGGACTAGACCTATCTTTAATAGACCAACGGCATAAGATGGGTGATGTGGTCAGTATAACACCGGCCACCTTTACTTCCCGACTGCACCTGGTACCTCCTCAAGGCTGGATCAGCCTGGGAGCCAAGGTCATTTTGAAAAAAAGTCAGGCTCCGTCAGGGAGCAAACACACGACCTTCTGATCCGAAGGCGAGCGTCTAGCCGCTATGCCGTGGTGACTGCCTCCTAAAATTATAGGTATTGAAAATAGTGTGCATCTCAAATCAGTGTCATAAAGTTAAGGAAATATGGTGTAATAGTCTTTCCTGTGGTGTGTTTTAAAAAAAATCTCTTGCTCTTCACTTCGGTCTGTATTTTCTCATTTCTTTTTTGGGGCTACCATAATTTACTATCATGACTAATAGCTTAGATTTTAAAGACATAATGTAGGAATGGAGAGAGATAGGGACAGAATGTTAGAGAAGCCTGGTTGCCCCGTTCTTATCTCGTTGTGTTCATTCAGATTTTTTGGTTTTTATAACCTTCTGTAAAGCCTCTTATCTCATCATGTGACCAGAACATGACAGTTATCTTGTGCTAATGTTGGAATAGTTTATCTGTATGGGTTTGAGGGGGCTGGTGTCCGCTTTAAGTGCTAGAGGTTCCGGGTTCAATCACCGGTAAGAGCTGGGATTTTTTTCATGTGGACTTGGACTTCTGGTAATTCCCCCTGGTCTCTGGGAAGTGAGATCGGACGCACATGTGCTCACATACAAAAATCAATCGGCAGATTGAAATAAAAATGAATAGTCTATATTCGCGGCCCGAGCACAATTTTGAGTTTAAAATCTACCCAAAATATTTCAGGATCCTCACCAGTGCTACAGAGCCTGTGCATTATGCTGAGCATCTTCGGATTCAGACTTGAGTAAGAAGAAGAACGGAGCACTTATGGGTTACTACTCGTGTGCCATGATGTTGATCCTTTGTTCAGAAACCTCAAAAAAATCTTGTGTACTTTGACTCACTGTAGTGTTTGGATACTGGTATAATACTCCATCTCTGAGATTGTTAGCACATCTTCTGTATCTTCTGGTGTCGGGGGATCAGGTTCTGATTACTGCTCTTCTGGCCGCCCTGACCGTGGACACATCATGCTGTTGTGGAGTTAATCTGATGTTGTCTTTCCATCTTGTTTTTGGTCTGTCCCTTGCTGAACATGCCTCTCCTCTTTTGTTGTATGGTTTGACTTTGCATGGCATTCTGTCTAAGTGGGCAGACCATTGTATTTGCTGTCTCTATTTGTAATTTAGAATTGGTTTTCTTCAGTGGATTATGTAGTAACTGTAAAATGGCAGTTTTTACTTCCCATGATATTTCCGGTTTTAATTGCCAGAACATTTCCATGTACATACTTTAGGCCAGGCCAGCCGGGAAGCTAAGATCAGATAATAAACATTCACCATGCCGGTAATTCAATTCGACTGAAGTATGTCTCCTCTCACCCACATATAGCCAGTTCAGTGTGTTAATATACCAGCACCAATAGCTGCCCCACCAACTTCTCATGCAATTGGAAACTTAAAGAATATTCTCTGAGTACAGATTGCATGTCACCCTAGAAGATAATAGTTAAAAAAAATAGCATATATTTCCCTAGATTTATTACACTTACTGTGGTTTACTGGGTACTAGTTCAAGCACATCTCAGTGCTGGTGTTTAGTATTTAGCTGCTGTTGAGAATGTTTTGTCAACTTCTGTGGCTTAGGCGTTGTGAACGCGCTTTGTAGTGCCGGGTTCGATTCCAGCTGCGGGCTCTGTGCCTTGCGTTGGTTTCGACAGTGGTATCAAGAAGCCGACCGTCCAGAAAGCAACAGCAAACTGCTGGATGTAAATTTGCCTAGAAAAACCACAACAGCCGAAAAATGCTGGGGTTGGTTCTGCAACGTCCTGTTAAGGATACGCAACTAACTGATAATGTTTACTGTTACTTGCTAACAGATCAATGAATGAAATGATGTATGAAAGTGGGGGAGGGGGAGATTAGAAGGGCAGAATGTTAGACAGGCCTGCATGCCCAATTTTTCAGCCCTTTAAAAATTGTTTGTGGTGGTAAATTTTTGTGTTGGCCCATGTCCATTTATTCAGTGTATTCACAACTATCCCGGTGGAGCCGCCAAGTAGCAGACAGGCTAACAACCGAGCTGTACAAATATATATTTATGTTACAGAACAAGTGGTATTCAAAGAGCAAGACTTTCTGGATCCCAACACCGTCCTGGGGCAACCACACACCAATTTTCAAGTAAGGGTCGATTATTTATAGCATTTGTATTGATTTTACAGTGGTATGAGCAGCAAACCAATCTGAAAGCAGTGGCAAATTACTGAACTTAAATCCCAGTGTTGGTTCCAGGATCGCCATGTGAAAAGTGGTTTTTAGCCAGATGCAAAAGATTCTTACCAATATGAAAATGTCAATTGCAGTGAGAAAAAAAAAAGAGTTTGAAATGCTATGAAAAACCTGAGTTGTTATGTGAGTATGAGACATGGATAGTGAGCAGACGAGCTTCAAAACATTTACTTACGGGCAGCATCTTGTCTACAGATGTACAAAAATATGTTTGCAGCGTCTTGTCTACAGATGTACAACAATATGTTTGCAGCGTCTTGTCTACAGATGTACAACAATATTTTTGCAGCATCTGGTCTACAGATGTACAACAATATGTTTGCAGCGTCTTGTCTACAGATGTACAACAATATTTTTGCAGCATCTGGTCTACAGATGTACAACAATTTGTTTGCAGCATCTGGTCTACAGATGTACAACAATTTGTTTGCAGCATCTGGTCTACAGATGTACAACAATTTGTTTGCAGCATCTGGTCTACAGATGTACAACATTATGTTTGCAGCATCTTGTCTTCACATGTACAACAATATGTTTGCAGCATCTTGTCTTAAGATGTACAACAATATGTTTGTAGCATCTTGTCTTAAGATGTACAACAATATGTTCGCAGCATCTTGTCTTAAGATGTACAACAATATGTTCGCAGCATCTTGTCTTAAGATGTACAACAATATGTTCGCAGCATCTTGTCTTAAGATGTACAACAATATGTTCGCAGCATCTTGTCTTAAGATGTACAAACATTTCTGGCAGCACTTGCTTCTTATGGTATGCTGCTGTACAAGTCCCTTATTATAAAACCATTTAATAAAGCAATTTATTTATTACAATGTTGCACTGTTGGTGTTATGACACCTTGTACTAGATTCGCGAAACAGATCAGGTCGTTTTACCATCTTATTACAATGTTGCACTGTTGTTGTTATGATACCTTGTACTAGATTTGCGAAACAGATCAGGTGGTTTTACCATCTTATTACAATGCAGCAGCATCAAAAACTGCCACAGGCACTACATCTTAGAAGATCAGCTACAAGCGCAAGAGGATGACCACGAAAACATGAACTGACAACATTAAAGATGCTTTACACCTTCCTGGCATGTCTATAAACAGTGCCAGCCAGCATGAACTGGATCGCATATTGTTCCTCCCCACGCTGCTTTTGGCTGCACTAAAAATCATGTCTTAAAAACTACAATGATGGAAGTCAAACAAGAGGTAGACAACAAGAATAACAGCCTTGGATGAACAGAAACTAAGATTGTACACCCACGAGAAAATACAGTGGAGATCCAACACTGTGAACCTTCATTGTTGTAATGACACTTAGTTGATTGTATATGGTAAATAAGTAATGCTCATAAAATACATGGACATTGATACATTCAGTTCCATTTTAGTGGGGTAAATTCATTTACACATAATTTCCAACCAGATTGACTGTATAATAGTTTCATGTAATAATCTGATTGTTGCTGTGTGCTTGCAGACATGCAGGGTTGAACGTCAACTCCTACAGGTACTATGACCCTAATACTTGTGGCTTTGACTTCAAGGGAGCAATAGAAGACATTAATGTAAGTTTCAAATATGTCACTGCTGTTATCCCTTTTTTACATCTCTGTTATCCCTTTCTCTGTTGCTGTTCCTTCTGTTTCACTCCTTGTTCCTTCTACATCACTTATCTTTTCATTGCTGTGGTAAATCCCTTTCCTTAAGTTTTTTTAATTATTCCTTCTTCTCTGTTGTAGTTTTTATTCCTTGTTGATCACTGTTGTTATTCCTTAAAAACTGATGTTAAGGCCATGCTAACCTTTTGAAACTAGATTGTATACTGTTTAATTTTTACGTTCTGGTGTGGTATAGGGTTTTATATTGAAGACCTGAGATCAGTAAAATACTGTCAAACTGACTGCACTCAGTGGTTGCTATGGAAACCAAGATAAACAACGGCCATATTGGATTGCTTGCATTAGGTCTAAAACCACAATTTTTGTATGAACAGGCTCAATTTCTAAAAAAAATAAATATTTATACATTCATATCCTCTTTTCACAAGTACAAAATATTTTTGTGATATCATTACCATTTCTTTTCTACCTAATTTTAAAAGTTAAGATAATTTTGATAATATTTAAAAATATATTTTCAGACAATTTTTGTGGCTTTCCGGCTGGTGCACAAAAACACTAAATTTTATTTTCACAAGTGCTTTGTATTTTCATAAATAATACAATGTTAAATAAGTGTGTAAAGTTTCATTATTATTGGACAAACCGTTTTTGAGAAAAAATATGCTGCAACCCGAAAAACTACCTAAATGAGAAAATGGAGAAAAGGTGAATTTTTAAAGTTTTATTATACTTACAAAATTATTTTCATGCTTTATCAAGTTATTTTAGGCAGACCAAAAAAAAAGTTTCTGATATTACATGATCATTAGAACAATCCTGCTGCATATGCAGGATCTCCCTCTAGGGCATGTAGTTCGTCTTGCCTCTTCAGTTTAGCAGCTGGTACACTGTCACGTCTCTTAGTGTGCATGTCCTTCTAATTCGTCAAGCTATTTTAAACTCTCTTCTGCACCCTAGATGCTCCTAGTCTCTTCATATGAAGACCTGTAGAAAAAAAAAAAAAAACTGGGCAATGTTTTGAGTAGCAACAGCACTAAAGTTGAACTCTCTTGCTGCAGTTACTACTGCAAACTGAATGTGCTTGCATGAGGCAAACTTGTCTTTAGTACAGCGAGCTCAGAGGCTGTGTAAAAACTCATTTTGAATTCTGAGTTTTCATGGGACTCATCTACTAAGTAGTTTAGTGTCAGACAGCCTTTCATAAATTGGCACAAGATATTTCTGTTGCTTGTCACAGTTGAGCCACATGTGTAACATGTTGTCTCAGTTGAGCCACGTGTGTAACATCTTGTCATGAGGGCCCGGGGACTGATGCCTAGTCAGGGCGGATTGAAAAAAACACCACGATTGCTCTCCACTTGGGCACACTTCATGGCGTGGAGTTTTGTCTGTTGAAAAACAGTGATGCAGTGGAGGCATACCACTGTTCCTCATGTTGTTTCTTATTGCTCTGTTGTAGTAAATTATCAGTTTACGGATGGCATTTTGTGTAAGCTGACCTTTACCACATCCACCTGGCGTCACATCTTGCTTTTGGCAGTCAGTAACAACATTACGGAGGGCTGTTTCAAGGCGTTTTCTGACTGTTGATATATTCTTCTATGTCTGTGTGAATGTCCTCCCCATAAGGTTTGATCTTGGTAAGCTCCGTAAATGTTTTAGCATCACCATCAGAAAGTATTGATGTATAGTGAAGCTTATGATGGGCCACAGACCACTGCCACAGCACTCGTGCAGCCTCCACCTCCATCATTCCAGCAGATTTTGCAAAATTATCACAGTTTGGAAGATGGTCTGTCTTCCATGCTTCAAATACGGCTGTTTTTGATCCCATTCCACAAACTAAAGAAGAATAAACAGACTGGTTGTTGATGGCAAAAGATCTATCCCCGTCATTACTTCTTGAAGTTATCTTCCACAGACTACTTCTTCACAACAAGAATGGTAAACTTCTGCATGCACAACTTGAGTTTTCTTGTCAGTTTTCAAAAATACCAGAATTTGTACATAGTGGACAACACAACGTTTTGAGGATTTTGTCAGTTTTTGAAAAGTCAACTACTTCTCTATTCTCCAGTGTTTTTTTTTTTAATGTCCACTATCATCAACAGAAACACACATGCTGCTAGAGGTCATATATTATCTCTGAACTGGTTTGGGTTTTTTCCTGCAAGAACAGTGTCACTTCCACAACTTTGAGAAGAACTAGAACAAGATGGTACAGAATTACTGAATGCCAGAATTTCAGTAATGCTAGGAACAAGAGCATGTTAGACATGTCACATTCCAAATTCGCTACAATGTTAACAAAGTTCTGGTTGATCTTTTTTTTGCTTTCGAAGCATTTGCCAATTGTTGATTTTGAGATTTCTTACATTGATCGGCTAAGTGGAGTTTGAATTTCTTGGAAGGAGGCATTTCTCGATTCACTGCGGTCTTATGGTCTGTGTGTAAACAATCAACCACAGCGGCCATCTTTGATAATTTGACTCCAACTTATCAGTTTCAGCCAGCTGGAATCGCCCATAATAAATTAGGTCATTTTTGCACCCATATATGGAAGTTTCCGGGTTCTTATGTGGGTCAGTGAATCAACCGTCATTGGAAAACTTGAAATTCCACAGTCCCGAATAATGCAGGAAACATAATTACGGTTATAACAGTATATAATACATACAGCTATCTCCTTGTGCAAATAGTTGCTTAGTGCGAAAAATTGGCAGTTTTAAGACAAGATAACGCAGAAGAAATTAGGGACATATGTTCAAAAAGAGCAAGAGAAGCTTTAAATTGACTAGTAATTCTGGATTTTAGAGAACATTACTATCAGCACCATATTTGGAAAATGTAACTAATGCCAATCAATGGGAGAAGATGATTGATGACATTAAAGAGCTTCTGCGTCACCATGGAATGACAATAGCCATTGCTGCCCATCAAGCAGTGGATGTGGAAAATACTGCCAAGTGATGTGATGTCCTTAATGCCTGTATCCACAACCGCACAGGCGTTGATCCTAAGGTAATGATGATGATGATGAGTTGTACCTACCCACAAGGCTTAACAGCAAATGTGTAATTGATGATGATGATGTCGAACCACTGTCACACAGTGGAGGAGAAACACGAAGAACTATTAGAATAAGAAACTGAAATAAACATTCATTAGTTCAACCAGTTGCTTCATATTCTAATTGCAGCTGCAGAACACAGACATAGAACCATGTTAGCTCAGAAATGTACACAAGTGGTATTTGTTTTTGCTTCTAGGAGTAGATTTACTTTGTCACTGTTTTCTGTCTGCTTGTCTTCTTCACAGAAAATACCGGAAGGGGATGTGATTGTCCTTCATGCTTGTGCCCACAACCCTACAGGTGTTGATCCAAAGGTAAATGTGATGTGGCAGAGTTTTGTCTTATAAATGCACAGCACTTAATACAGGGCTATTCAGCTAGTTTAACTCGGGAGCTAAAATGTTGAAAATGGGGAAAGCCAGATGCCCAAGCCCCAGCATAGACAGATCATTAATGCAATACGCCTGGTAGTCTTTTTCTTCTTTGTTCACCGGCTGTAAGCTCTTGCAGAAAGTCCAGGTTGTTCGTCCGTTTAGACTTTGGCTCTGTGCCTGGGTTTTGGGTGTAGATCCGTTTCACTGGCTTATTTATTATGTGCACTTGGTTGTTCCTTGTCGCTTGGGCAGATGCACTGCAACTTCGAAGGAGGTCCCTAGCTAGTCGACTCCTACGACGTGCTTGCTGGGAAGGCAGTGGGTCTAATCATATTTTCTCAGCAATGGATCCCCGGAACTCACACAGAGAACAGCTGGCAGTGATCCATGAGGCCACACACTAGGCTTGAACCAGTTGAATAGCCCTGACTTAATGCATAGTTTCTGTTACAGAAATGTTTGTTTGGTTCATTCTCCATGTTCATAGTTTAACGGACACATTGAGTTTGTTATACCTACACAGTGTTTCTATTGCACATACACAGTTACAGTAATGTTTACACATATGTTCTTCTATACATACACATAGTTTTAAATATACAGTTTCTTACACAAAATATAAGCTTATACTTGTACGTACCGTTATGTGCACAGTTTTTGTGTTTGTTATACAAACATATAGTTTGTTATACAGATACTTAATTTATTTTTGAATGAAAAACTTAATCATACACATAGTTTATTATAAACACACATTGATTTATCATACTTACACATCAACTTTGTTACATATGCACACGGTTTCTGGTATTAATATATACCGTGAGCTTTGTGTAATAATTACATACTGTAAACTTTGTGTAATAATTACATACCGTGAACTTTGTGTAATAATTACATACCGTGAACTTTGTGTGATAATTACATACCGTGAACTTTGTGTAATAATTACATACCGTGAACTTTGTGTAATAATTACATGCGGAACAGGTAATGTCATAGTTACAGGTGGTGCTGGCTTTATAAAATAAATGATATAAACAGCTTGAGCTGCACTCACATGACGTTTTACTTTTCTGCTGATAACCAGATGATTTTTCTACTTACACATGGATGATATTTCTACTTACTTATGGAGGATAGTTCTACTTACTTATGGATAATAGTTCTACTTACACATGGATGATAGTTCTGTTTACTTATGGATGATAGTTCTGTTTACTTATGGATGATAGTTCTGCTTACACATGGATGATAGTTCTGCTTACACATGGATGATAGTTCTGCTTACACATGGATGATAGTTCTGCTTACACATGAATGATAGTTCTACTTACTTATGGATGATAGTTCTACTTACACATGGATGATAGTGGATGATAGTTCCACTTATGTATGGATGGATGATAGTTCCACTTATGTATGGATAATAGTTCCACTGATGTATCGATGATAATTATACTTATACATGGATGATAGTTCTACTTACATGGATGACAATTCTGACAGTTTGTGTTGTAAGATAACATTGACAAATGAAGCATAGACAGTGATTGATACTTTTCTAATCTAGTCCTATGTCAGAGGCTGTGGTAGATCAGGCCACTATGTTAAATTGATCAACAGTATGAGCACTGTCTTGCTTGGAAAGCAATGGCAAACTACTAAGCGTAAAATCGTCTGGTAGTACAGACAACAGCCAGTGTGTTATGCTGTGTTACCACAGTCAGTGTCGCTGCACGTTGGGTATGACCATGCGTGCTCAGTCCTCCGATGTTGATTGTTCCCATGAGGAGCTGGTTAGTTTCTGCTGTCTTGGCCTCGAAAGCGCATACATGTGCTTAACCACGCCGGTAAATACTGCAAGTACTAAATTAACATAAAATGTGACTGAAAAGCTCAAGGAGGGACCAGAATGGAAAAGACATGCATAAATACAACCGAACGTTTTGATCGGTCTTTGACAACGGAGTACTAAATACAGCACAAACTGTGATTGGAAAACTCAACGGACATCACATTTTATGTTATATTTTGTACTTTTTGTCATTCACATTTGTTATTTTTAACTCTTCTTGTCATTATCTCGGCTGCAGTCACCCCCTATTTACGTTTACAATAAATGCTGGGGTTGGTCCTGAAAAGGTCATGCTAATATTGTTTAAATTGTACTGATGTAGTCATTTGTAATGTTTTTTTTCCCCTTTCCTATGTGGTTTCCCTAGCCAGAGCAGTGGAGAGAGCTGAGTCAGGTGATCAAGAAGCGCAAGCTGTACCCTTACATCGACATGGCCTACCAGGGCTTTGCTAGCGGTGACACAGACAAGGATGCTTTTGCCGTGCGACAGTTCATCAGTGACGGCCATCAGGTTGCTCTGAGCCAGTCGTTCTCCAAAAACATGGGACTTTACGGTAAGCTGGTCAGACAACAGCTGTTTCGTTTATCTGGAGAGGAGGAACATTGACTATTTTAGCCATCACTCAGTGAGGGCGCTTAACCGGTGTTGTCAGATGGGAAGAACGACAGCCTGGCTGTGGAAATGGTGTGGGGCTGCGAGAAGTTTCTAGGACATGATACGTTGCGCACGCTGTTTAACAAACTCTGTGTGATCGTTGCAAGACAACCGGCAGTGTCGCTGAAGAAGACAGGTCAGGACGTCTAAGGTCTGCCACAGGGCACATTTGTTGTTGTGTTGGCTCTCAGACAGAGAACAATCACTATCAGTGCCAACATAATCGTCAGTGACCAAACAATACAGAATTGACAGAGATGCATGTCTGCATATAAGTCGACTTGTCCTCTGACCTGTCTTGGCATTAGCTCATGGCACAACTCGGCAAAATATGACGTTGTGACGTGCGGAGCTTCATTGTAACGAGTGTAAAAGTGACTAGGGGTGTCGCAATGTAACAAATGGCATCAACACTTAACATGCCACTGGCCAAGAGTAACACAACATGATGAATGCTGAAGCTTCCAACGTAGCGGAACGAGAACTCTCTTTAAAAGTTCCATTTGTGTATTGACAAATGGCAATGATCAACACAAAGGATACATATGCAATCAATAATCAAGCACATTAACCAGAGCTCGCTCGTACATCCATGGACTGATATGTCCTCACGATAGGTCGCAGTCCGACCTTGAGATCCAGACAATCAACATCAACTGCCTTTGACAACAATCCTTCACAACGTTACGTATTGTTTTGACGTCTTATTTGCTCACTCCGTACCGGTGCGTTCTGGTGCACATTCGCACGCGACAGACGTGGACAAGGCATTAGTTCTGTTTACAGATGAATTCTGTTTAACCAGATCATTCACAGATGACAGTTTAAAAAAAAAATTTTTAATGGGTGGTAGTTGAAGATAATCCAGAATAGAAATGAAAGAAAACCAAAAGCTTCTCAGGGAACTTAAATAACTATTTTGAATTTGTTTAAAGAAACCTTATTATAAACACCAGAAAAAAGGCAGTCACTTTAATTAAAAAAAGATGGTAGCTGGAACATTTTAACAACTGGAAAGAGAGAGGCAGATGAGAGAAGATTCTGAAACTTTTGTTGTAGCACAGAATTGTGTCAGCACATGAACGGATGTTGGACACATGAACGGATGTTGGACACATGAACGGATGTTGGACACATGAACGGATGTTGGACAGACATGATGATTATGATATTTTTAGATTTTGTTCACATTTTGATTCAGTTTGGAGAAACACTGTCAAGACTTTAGTCTGTTTCACCATTAAAGCGAAAACCATTTTTGTTGTTGTTTATGGTGACAGAATTGTTTAGCATTATTTCATTTGTTCAGGTGAACGTGTCGGAGCTTTCACCATCACCTGTGCAGATGCCGACGAAGCCGCCCGTGTTTTGTCCCAGGTTAAGATCATCATCAGGCCGCTGTACTCCAACCCTCCAGTTCATGGAGCTCGCATTGCAGCCAAAATTTTGAACACTCCGGACTTGAACAGTCAGTGGTAGGTACACATTCACTGCGTTGGGAGTTGGAACACTAGGTGTTATTTACATCCATCTCCGTGTGGGTTTCGGGGTCTTATTGTGGGGAAAACAAGAATACATTCACTGCCTACCCAATAAGCATGTCATAAGAGTCGACTAATTGGGGGCTTCCGTCGAAGTTGGAGTGCCTCTGCCTGCGAGGCAAGGAAAAGAAGTCTGCATACAATTCTGATCTGTAAAACAGAGGTGCATGTAACACTCAGTTGCTTTAATAAGAGGTGGACAAACAATGAGAACTGCACTGGAATTTACAGCTGCTGAACACAAAGGAGAAAAAACATTCACAGTGGGAAGGCATAGTGGTGTTTGCATGCATTCCTGGTAGCCAGAAGTTTGAATCTTTGAATTTACAAAAATGAACCTGGCTCCCAGGTGGATTCAGCCTAAAAATGAGTTTCAGGAAATATTTTGGCAAGTAAAGGCAACCAGTCTCATTAAAATTACATATCTAAAGAGCACCGATAGGTATAACAAAAAATTAAATAAGGGTCTAGCATGATTGGCTTAATGAATCGCAGGTTGTGATACATCCTGACCTATGGGTGTGAGTCATGGGCAATGACAACAGCTCACAGAAGCCAGCTTCAGGCCTCAGAAATAAGACACCTGAGAAAGGTGGTACAAGTGACATGAAGAGACAATGTCCGCAATCAGACTATACGTCAAGATCTTAATACCCAGACCGAGTGGATCAGTCACAGTTACGATGGTTTGGACATGTATGCAGAATGGGAAAAAATCGGCCACCATGGGAGGCTAAGAACCAGGGACCTAGGGTGCACTGGGAAGATAACATCCGACAGTCCCTAACTGACAGAGGACTGGAATGGAACAAAGCCAGAAAGAAAACTGCTGATAGAAACATCTGGCAATCTCTCTGGCAAACCTCTACACCCCAAGGTAGAAGAGGAGCGACTAAGAGAAGAGAGGTTGTGATACAAATCTTTACACACGCAAACACACACACAGAGGGAAGAAGGACCAAACGAACTGGTAGACATTTAGTGCTCTGAGGAAAGGCAAGAGGAACACAGACTACAACTGGTACCATTAGTGTTGGAGCTGTGGCTGTTGAAGAAGACTGTGCTTCAAGGAACATTAGGGGTTAGTCGAAGAAGAGGAGGGCAAAAGTTCAAGTCAAGAGGATGGATTTCATTGTACCAGGTTTGATCCCATATGGCTCGGTCTCTCTCTACAAAACGGCTATCTACCTGCCGAAAGTATGCACAGAGTTCGAACTCCATAGCACCAGCGACGCTCTGCAGAGATCTTCGTAAAAATTGCCCCCGTGAACTGAAGGGCGCAACTGTGGAGCGAACCCACAACTTTCAGAGTGCGAGGCAAACATCTTGACCACTTCACCACGAAGACCCCCCAAGGAGGGCAAAAGAATAACCTAGAATGACAGCATCAAGAAATGGACAGGACTAAGTTATCATACTTTTCATCAAGCCAAAGACAAAGATGGCAGGTTTTACGTGCTAGTGCTTTCATCAATACACCTGCATGACCCTAACGGGTTATGTTATGTTTATTATGTAATGTTGAAGATTGGGAATGCACTCGTGCTGTGATATTGGTTGTTAAATCTGGGGAAGAGAGTTGTGCTTGACTATTTGTTATTGTATATTGTGTTTGAGTTAGCATTTGTTGAAAACTGAGACTTGATATCTTTACTGTTTCCAACCGTCTGCTGCCTGCTACACTTGTAGGTTGAAGGAAGTGAAAGGCATGGCTGATCGCATCATCACCATGAGGACCCGGCTTCGGGACGGGCTTAAGAGAGAAGGCTCAAGTCACAACTGGCAACACATCACAGACCAGATTGGCATGTTCTGCTTTACTGGCCTGAAACCTGCCCAGGTAAACTAGATGTGTGATAATGTCTCTTATATTCTGTGCCCATCTTCATTCTGCAGGGATCATGACAACCCTTGTAAAACCCTTGAATGGCAGCTAGACCCTAGATCTTGAAATGCCCTGGATCTTTTCAACCCTTTGGATAAAACGCGGCCGAAATATCTGCCCGACGCAAAGTAGCCAGAAGGATGGCTGGGCCGATGGGTCGGCCCTGTAAAAGCCTTGATATTGGCTGGCAGGTTTTCACACCAGCCAGTCAGACTGCTTCTCACATTTCTTGCACATGTGGGCTGTTCAGTGATGACTTTCAAGAAAGTTTGATATGTTCTGTGATTTTACATCAGTTTTTTTCTGGGATTACCTGTGCCCCCAAAAATAGCAAAAAGGATTGTTGCATCATAGCAACTGAAACATGGCTGTAGGCAGGAAAATGAGTAGAACAATGTGCCAGATGTGTCTGAAGGCCCTCCAAGGGCCTTACTTCCCAAAATTCAGGTGTTAGGACTTATTCAAGCTTCATCCATAAACAAATTCACCAAAATTTTTCAGCTTAGTTATGTTTGTTTCCAAGTTTTATAAAAATTGCTTGCATAAATTATGCAAATCAATAGTTCATTCATTCAGTAGCATGTCCCTCGCGGAACCTCGCTGCCATAACAACCCTCCGGAAAACCTTCCTATCCTGAGCAAGATGTCCTGCGTCTGATACACCCATCTGGAGATCATCTGCCACATCCTGCACCCATCTTCTCCTTGGCCTTCCTCTTCCTCTCTTCCCAGGCATATACCCCTCCATTATTGTTCTCTCTAGACTTCCATGACGTTTCAAGTGACCAAAATATTTCAATTTTCTTTGTTTTATTGTCTTTACTAGCCAACCCTCTTCAATATTCAGCTCTTGAAGTATGGATGCATGTGTTCTTTTCTTTACCCAAGATATTCTTAGAACCTGTCTGTAACATTTATATTCAAATGCATTTAATATCAATCAATAGTTAATTTGAATAAATGTTGAGATTTCAGTTCGATTCATAAATATTCTGTTAGTTCATTCAATTTCTCACACAAATATATATATATATATATATATATATATATATATATATATATATATATATATATATATATATATATATATATATATATATATATATATATATATATATATATATATATATATATATATATATATATATATATATATATATATATATATATATATGGTTTTTGTATATGTTAATTAAACGCTGAATTGTTTATAATTTTTTGTGTATAAACTATGAGAATCCTCTCTTCTTGGCACTGAAACTCTAAAAAGTCTCCGTCTCCAAAGGGTTTTTAAAAAAAAAAGGGGGAAGGGGGGGGGGGCATGTCATTGAAATTTGCCGGCAGTAACTAAAATAGGAAATGAAGCAAATGAAAATAAAAAGAGTTGGACAGTTATCACCACATCAAAATAAAAAGAGTTGGACAGTTATCACCACATCAAAATAAAAAGAGTTGGACAGTTATCACCACATCAAAATAAAAAGAGTTGGACAGTTATCACCACATCAAAATAAAAAGAGTTGGACAGTTATCACCACATCAAAATAAAAAGAGTTGGACAGTTATCACCACATCAAAATAAAAAGAGTTGGACAGTTATCACCACATCAAAATAAAAAGAGTTGGACAGTTATCACCACATCAAAATAAAAAGAGTTGGACAGTTATCACCACATCAAAATAAAAAGAGTTGGACAGTTATCACCACATCAAAATGCTGAGCTGTGCTTTCTCTATAAAGCAGCTCATCACATTTCCCCCATCTGCAAATTCTCATGTACCAGACAGCAGAGATCAGAGTTAAAAAAAACACTTCTCTGGTACAAGAGAAATGTGCTGTGCTATGGGATAGGGGAATTTAGCAGTTTTTCCTTTGATTTTTAGTCTTTTGTTTTGACCTGTTTGGTAATTGACGGGACAGACAGTTAATAGATAATAGCATAGTTTTACTGCCTGTGTGTCGATATACCTGCCTGCTACCCTACTCTCTCCATCTCTTTGTCGTTCTGTCACTCCCCCAACAATTCCATACTCACTACCCCCTTTCTGTCGTCTATCCCTATCTCTTTGTATACTTCTGTGTCTGTTAGCCTCCCTATCTCTCTGTCAAAAAGTGTTCCACACTGTATATCTGTTTACCTGTCTCTCTCTCTCTCCATCTATTTTCCTCTCCTCCCTCCTTATTTATCTCTCTGATTGCCTAACTTCCTCTCTGCATCTACCTCTCTCTCTTCATCTCTGTTTATATCTCTGTGCCTGCATTTCACTCTCACTTCCTGTCTATTTTTCTACTATCTTTGTTTGTCTCTTTACATCCTAATATTGAATCTCTTTGTACCAGCTGACTTTGTTATCATTGTAGGCTTTGCATGAGGTACATATCAGAGCTATCACTCCTCAAAGTTTGACTCTTGTCAATGGCTGAAACGAGTCTGCTTTGTAACCTTCTTTGTCTAGCTTTGGATAAATCTGATAAAGGCCCATTTTATTTATATATGAGGCTTCTGAATGCCACATTCTGTGACTGACCTGTCTCATGTCTGTTACAGGTGGAGAGACTGACCAAGGAGTTCTCCATCTACCTGACCAAGGATGGTCGGATCTCTGTAGCTGGTGTCTCCTCTGGAAATGTGGACTACCTGGCTCATGCCATCCACCAGGTCACCAAGTAAACCTAGAGAGTTGTGTGTGAGCTGCAGCAGCTGATGGAACTTTCTCAGCTGTTCTCGCCCAATCATTGCGGTGGTTGCTAACATGTGATGATTTTTTTTCTATGCAGACTAGAGGATAGATCAGTTATATTGTTGTCCTTGAAGAATAGTTTACTGCTCCTTGCCCATGTCCGACTAACACTAGCGGTGAAAAGCTTGTTTCCAGTAAGACTTAACATGCTACTGTAGTAGTCTTGATGATTTTATTTCATCTTACATAATGATGTATTTAATTAGGAAGTTTTATATTTATTGATTTCCGTTACTGTATCATGATTGTGATTTAAAATTTAACTCTTAATGTTGTTTGTGGTAGACAGGGCTACATTATCTTGTAATGCAGCGGTTCTCAACCTGTGGGTCGTGACCCCTTTAGGGTCTTTGCTTAAGACCATCGGAAAACACATATTCACCGAAGTAGCAACAAAAATAATTTCATGGTTGGAGGTCACCACAACATGAGGAACTGTACTAAAGGGTTGCAGCATTAGGAAGGTTGAGAACGACTGCCGTATCGGAACTCTGTAATCCTTGAGTACAGTGAGATTGATGAGATGCAGCCAGTAGTTTTATATCATAAGTTTTGTTTTATGTTAAGATGTGATTATTCTTGTGCATTTTTCCATGTGAAGTTGCATGTAGAGCTTTCATGTATTTCTGGTACCTAGCATTACAGATTTAGGGAGAGAGCAACAGTTAGTTTTGCTGAAAGTACCCGTTTAGTTGTGTTGCCCAGTTAAAACACTTTTTACATCTGTATCTTGAGCTTCGCTGTTCTCGATTGTGAGTTGATCTCACTTTATGGTGCTCTTGATGAGATTTCCTTGACAGTGCTAACTGAACATTGCTGTATTTGATGTGTGCTGCTCAGGAAATGGTGAATCTACTATCATCTTGCCCTTTTCTCCTTCGTTCCGGATAAGAATGGAACACAGAGTTGAATGTTGAGCTAAGAATTGATAGCACAGCACTCAGGATATTCCCCTAAGCGATGTGTCCATCTTTAGCAGCTTGTAAAGAGTTCCAGTTGTAAAGGTGGTAATAGGTCCGTCCGTCTTGCCTTTCCTCTGAGTGTTGCCGGACCAGATCTTCTGGTAACTCCTGGCTGCACCGTTCTCTCAAGACCCTATTGGTCGATTCATGCCTCTGCATTTTTCACTTGACCCCAAAGGGCCTTGAGCACATTTAGCTTATGCATACTTTCACCACCATTGGTGCAGAACAAGCCAGTCCGTCTGCAAGCTCATTTCCCAACACTCCTGCACACCCCGAAAAAAAAAAAACAACCTGGCCATCTGGCCAGTGTCTAGCAAAGCTTGCCAGTTAAGCTGGATGCCAGAAGAAAGACGCTGATTTCACTGAGGGCGGGTGATAAATGGTACTGCCAGATACATTGTTGGAACAACAGCTTGTGCCAAAAACTAAACAAGATCAGACGGCCGGGCATCTTGTTTAGAATGCAGCACCACCATTTGACACAGGCTGTGCATCTAAGAACAGCTGATATAAAAGCAGGAGCACTCCCAAGAAGATTGATCCTCCACACTGCAATAAAACAAGGTTACTTGTGAAGGAGAATGTATTAGATTTTAATTTTGGACATAACTAGAAGGTACATTTTTAATGATACTTTGACTTTTTTACATAGGTCAGCTGTTTGGTTTTATGTGAATAATTTTGAGGCTGTTTATTTGATCAGCTTTTTGGATTTGATTGTATACATGGACATTTCTGTTGTACATCTTTCAATCTTTTACACTGAGATTAATTTACTGGAACACTTGTAGCAAATTGCTGCTGAACTGTCATCACCATCATGGAAGTATGGTTGTGGCACCACATGATTGTGCCCCTGTACTTGATGTTTTGGAGGTGTCTGTATGTGTTAGAAATGGTTAGGTATTGTAAACATACTTTTTCTGATGAAAGGATAACAAATAAAATTATATTATCATAGTTATTGTTTTTATTATTTGTTTTGCTGTGTACCTTTTCTTTTAAAATAAGCAAAGAAGAGCGCAAAGAATTGTTGAATAATAGAAAATAGATAAGTTCGCCTCTTCTCAAGACACAAAAATCTTCAGAACTTTTAAAAAAACGGTGCCTTGCCGACTGGCGTGGGCGATCATGCCTCTCTACAATCTGCAACTGTATGTAATCAGTTTGTGTTTTGATACCCCTACACCATGGCAAAAAGCTTCTAAGAAACTTCTGGATTTGTTTTTCTTAATCACTCTTTCCACAGATCTTTCCAGGGGTCACATGTTCTAGTTTCCTTCTCATAACATGACCTCAAACAAAATGATGACTTTCTGATGTTTGTGAGAAGTAGTTTTCTCCAAGTCTTCACCTTTTGCAAAACATGTGGCTTGCCTGGCTCGCTAGCTCAGTTGGTTAAACCTGACTGCACGGTGACCGGGTGACAAACTCCCTGTTGTCTGGGTTCCCGCCCGGGGTTAGGCAGAAAAGCCACATTCTTCCAAGTTTTACGGTATCATGAAATCAAGGCAGAAGAAGGGTTACGATATCAATAGTGCCTAGCCAAAGAGTTAACAACTCATGGTTTCGGGATATTATTAAAAAAAAAACGTGGGTTGCTCATTTTGGTTGTCCAAGGAATTCTAAAGATTCTTCTGTAAAACATCTACGGGGCCTCAAGATATTGTTTGGCTTGTATATTGATTGTCCAGGACTCACAGCCGTATGTTAAAACTGGCTCTATATAGCATGCTAGAATTCTGTTTCTAACCTCCAATGACATGGATTTATTGCACAAAACGTTCTTTATTTTATAAAGTAGTTTTGGCTGGACTTATATTGTTCTTTATCTTTGACACATCCTCTGTAGGATGTTATCCATCTGCCTCGACACTAATTTTTCTGCACTTGTCCTTACTACTAAAATAACGATTTTGACTTTTGTTATACGTTAAGGCACTATTTTTTTCTCGGAAATAACCATTACTTCTGTCTTTCCATTATTCAAATTGGGGCTCAATTTATTACTTTCTACCACCATAGCATCTATCAGTTCTTGTAGTTCTTTCTGACTTGTCGCTATCAAGACGGTGTTATCAGCATAATGTAGGTTGTTTTGTTGCTACCAACCAACCGCAATTTCTCGCATATCCATAATTGACCTTTCTGTATATTTAGTTCATAATGCAAACAAATCGGGTGATAGTTACACATTCTTGTCATACTCCCCTCTTTATGCTCTGAAATGTTCCCAAAGATTATTAATAATATTTTTAAAGCTGCTGTTTGCTGCAATACGTGTTCTTTATAGTTGACAGAGAAATAGAAACCAGATGTCAGTAAGCTAATATACCAGCTGTAACCATTATTAAGACATCAAAACATAACTGAGTTGAGCTACCTGTGTCAAACTAAGACACTGTCTAAAGCCCATATTTGAAGAATCACCACTTGCGAGATGCCTGAGAAAAGCCGCCAACCTAACCAGCGGAGATCAAGTAAATAATGATACTATCATATTGTGGAAACCACACCTTGTACTTGATTAATCGAGAAACAGCAGATCAAGTGGTTTGGCCATCTCGTTAAAATGCAGCAATATCAAATACCATTACAGGAACAACGAATCAACATCATGGCACAGGGGTAGGAACCCATAAGTGCTCCATTCTCCTTCTAACTCAAGTCTTAGTTCGAAGAAGCTCTGCACAGTGCACAGGCTCTGTAGCACCGGCGAGGATCCTGAAATACTTTGGGTAGATTTTCAGCTTCAAATAGTTGCCCGGCAGCCCCGTTAGGCTACTCTTTTCGAGTTCCAGAATTACTAGTCCAAGTCCACATGAAGAAATCCCAGCCCTTACTAGTGATTAAACCCGGAACCTCAAGCACTCGAGGTGGACACCATACCTCGAGACCACGCAGCTCCCTATCCCAGGTGCCACATCTCAGAAGATCAACTACAAGAGCAAGATGGCAGCCACTCCCAAAAAATTGGATTGAGAAAATTAAGAACACTTTATGTTTCAGGGCCTGACAATATCCAGCATGTACTGGATCGCAAATTGTTCCCCCAAGGGACACTTAACGATAGAAGTGGTTTATGATGACATCTAACCAAAACAATAGAAAGCTACTGAGCATAACATTATGTTAAATCCATTTAAAAACAAATGTCTGAGGTAAGTCGTTTGCTGAAGTTCTTTGGTAAGGTTGGCTACTATCTGTGGGACACATTTAATGTCTTTCTCCTTTGGGACATCTTAAGACACTCAGTGTAGGTAGCAAAATTTTCATTTGCTTTCCTTAGCAAGTCTTCACCAATGTTCCTTGGTAAGGCGTTTACTGTCCTTAGGACATCTTAAGTAACCCAAAGTCTTTCTCCACTGGGACACAATTCAATGTCTTTCTCCTTTGTGACACATTAAGTCACTTGTTCACTGATGTTTCTTAGTAAGTCATTAATTAGCATTGGTACTATTTAATTCACTAGATGTCTTTACTCTTGGGGACATTGCTTGATGACCTGCTCCCCTGAGATACCTTGAATCACTCAAGGTACTTCTTAAGTCTGTCACTGGTGTTGGCAAATCAGTCACTGAGGTTCCTTAGTAAGTGGTCCACTGTCCTTGGGACACATCGTCACTCTATATCTTTCTCCTTTGGGACACCTTAAGCTATTCTATTATGGTACAAGTCAGACACATGGTAACTTTTAGAATATACAAGACAACTTCTAACAAACACAAGGTGATGTTTAGACAACATAAGGGGACTTTTAGGAAATGCACAGCGATACACTTTAAGTTAATTGGTTTTGTGAGAGTGTGTGTGTGCACAGTAAAAATTTTTTTTGGGTACATTTAAGCACGTTGACCTCTGCACTGACAGCAACTGGATTCTGCTCCCATGAGCTCCTTTCAATAAATAGTCACCTTGTACAACATTCTTGTGTGTGTGCGCATGCCTGTGCGTGCGTATGCTTG